TGCCTGCCTCTGTTCTACCCCTAAACCAGCAGCAGTGCGGCTGGGTTGAATGCAGCTCCTGGCCCTCCAGTGGAGAACTCCCGGGAGGCTTCCCCGGCTGTGAGCTGACAGGGCAGCTGCCTCATCCTCCTGGACCGAGCAGCCGGTGGGTGTGAACCCTGACCTTTCGGGTCGCTGTGAAGGCCGTCGGAGCGTCTCCCACCAACCACGTTCTCGGAGTAAACGCCGTTAACAAGCTCTACACCTCCATTTTAAGTACAAGCCCCCTCACCAGTCTCCCCTCTGGGGTGGGTCAGGACTCCCGGGACCCTCCAGGACACAGAAGAAGCACCCTGGCGTGTCCATTGCTGTGGTCACTACTCAGGCAGACCACCTCATTGTTCTCCCAAGGAACAGCTGGGTTCAAACTGCTGACCTCTTGGTTAACAGCCAAGTGCGTTATCCACAGCAAAACTAGGGTTCCTGGGACCCTCAGCAGGAAGTTCAACATGAGAAGGCCAGTGGGAAATGGGCCCCGGTGTGCTTCCTGACCCCTCCAAGGCCAGCGTGAGAGCCGCTCAAAGACAGCACTACAGCGAGCTCAAGTATCGAGAACAAAGCCCCTTTGCTTTTTTGGCAAGCTAACAGCACAGGGCTGTCAGGGAATGGAGACGTTTAGCAAAGTGTGGTGACAGGGAGGAGTGGGCCTCGTCAGAGCAAAGGAGCTGCTGGAGAGACGTGTGCGAGACAGCTGACGGGCCTGTGTCCACGAAGACACCTGGGAGAGGGGAGACGGAGCTCCCTGGACAGACGTGTCCCTCTGTGGAGGTGACAGCCATCGGCCCTCCCCAGAGAGCCTGGAAGGAGCTCGGAGCAGCACGGAAGTCATCTTCAGACCTGCTGTCAACATCACTGAGGCGTGCTGAGAAAGCAGGGATGGCCTGTGCAAATGAGTAACAGAGGAGGGTGGGCACCCAGGACGGCCCGAGCCTGAGCAGAGCCCACCCCCCACTCCTGCCAAGTTGATTCCAACTAGCAGCGACCTGGCAGGACACAGTGGAACTGGCTCCCAGCCTTCCAGCTGGACGGGGAAATCTTTGTGGGTTCCAACCACCTCATCTTCCTCCTGAAGGCCAGTGGATGGCTGCTTCGAACTGTCTGCTCTGGGGTTAGCAGCCCAGCATTCTACCCATGGTGCCAGCAGCACGTTCTTCGAAACATGGGCGGAGCTCCAGGCTGACTGTGCGGAGCATGGTGCCCTGTGCCCGACCTGCGTGTCCACAGCCAGGCTGCCACACTCTCAGGGCCTGGCCGGAGCAATGTGGAAGTGATGCTGCCTTTTATACACGGAGACCTGCTGCTGTAACGCATTACGTGTTGGGCTGCTAAGGGAAAGGTCAGTGGTTTGAATCCAGCAACCTCCTCCTATAAAGCTGGCAGCCTCAGACGCCCAAAGGGTGGGAATCCAGTCCTTAGAAGTGCGTCAAGCCTCTTGCTGTGTAGCCAGTGTAGACCTCCCACCAGGACAAGTAGACCACGCCCACTGCTCAACCCCACTGAGAGTCTGCTTTCATTGCATCGCCTGCCGGAAGGTGTCATCCATCCGGCCTTCACTGGCCACCCTCTGCCCTGCCTCCTCCAGGCCCTTTGTCCCCTGTGGGCCTCCCTTCCCTGTGGAATGACACACAGCAGGCTGCCGGCAGCAGTCACTTCGTGGGGGACACTGGTGACAGACTCTTCGTGTCCCTGTCATACAGCTGTAGCTTCAGTGAGCACCTTGCAGTCTGTCATTTGAAACGTGATAAAAAAAATCATGCTGAGTGAAATTAAGTTGATACCCAAAGAGAACAAATCCTACGTGACCTCACGTGCAGGAGCTAAGCAGACATGCCCGAACCTGAGACAACCAGGGGCTGCCAGAGGCGAGCGGGAGCACTAGTGATCCAGCAGCAAGAAACGGTGCTGCAGTCCCAAAGGCAGGCAGTTCGAGTCCAGCAGCTGCTCCATGGGAGAAAGCTGGGCACTCTCCTGTCGGGCGATTTATTGCCCTTGAAAACCCACTGTAGGGCCTGCCATGGGTTGGCTCTCACTTAAAGCACTCAAAAACCACCAGCAGAGGGAGGAGACGAGGGCAGGCCAACAGGGCTTTTGGAGGCTTACGGTGGTGGAATAATTTGGAAAAAGATCAAAACCCAAAACCAAAACAGTCCTCACAGCAACGCTGCAGGGCAGAGGTGAGCTGCCTGTGGGGTTTCCAACATGGTAATCTTAACAGAAGAAGACACTTCATCTTTCTCCCACCAAGAAGCTTGGGGATTTGAACTGCCAACCTTTAGGTGAGCCACTGGATGCTTTAACACTGTATAACCAGGACTCCTACATTGTTACGGGACAGGGGATATTATTCTATATATTATTATGTATATTGTGTTTCGTTCCATGCTAAGGGAGGACCAATCCCTGGAGAAGGATACCGTGCTTATTAAAGCAGAGGGTCATGGACTGGCGCTGTGGCTGCAGCAGTGGGTTCACATTCAGGGAGGACTGGTCAGCTCTGCCTCACGGCGACCCCACATGGAACAGAACAAACACTGCACGGTCCTGCATCAGCCTCAGTCAATGTCAACACAGAAAATGTGCACGAGCTGTTGAATGGAAAACCAAGTAGTGTGGTAAACGTTCATCCACTATCACAACAAAAAAATTGCAAGTATGTTTACATCATCCGTCCAGGTCCGTGTGTGTGCGCGTGTGTAGAGCGGTATAGATGTTTCTTACTTGTAAAAAGGCCTTAAATAACATTCTAAAGGGAAAGCGTATACAAACCAGGATGATAGAAATGAAAAATCAAAGCCCATCCAATCCAAAACCATTAAGGAAAAGAAGACAGAGATGGTCTAAGCACCTGGGACGAGTCAGGTACTTTTGTTAAGAATTCAATTTAGCGTTGAGTTTCCTGGCAACCAGAGCAAAACAGAGAGGTAATAGAAGATAGAGTTATAAAAGCAAGCACACAAGTTCATCCAGAGAAACACACCTTGTTTCCATCAAGACTGAAGAGAAATCTATTGTATGCAATTTACATGAGAGGCAGCAGGCTTTACAGAGCTATTCTTCCAAGTTGACACTCCTTCTAGCACATCTTCAGGGAAGATGAAGGCATGTTTTTAATGTATAGAGAAGAAGTTCTCCTCCTGAGTCAGGAGCATAATTTTGAAGTATGGAAGCCTAAAACCTGTGTGGAGAACAGGGCATCTGTGACTCACACCCAAGTTTCAAATCTATGTTGGCTCATATGTTGGAATAATTCTGCAAATATTTCTAAGCGGAATGTTTACTTATTTAAAGAACAATCTAATGAAATAAAGTAAAACAAGATGGTGCCTGGACACAATACCGAAGAACTAAAGGTGCCTCAGAAGAATCCAGATCAGAAGGGGAGAAAATGTGGAACAGAACTCCACATGCTCATGGAATCCTTCCTGGAGCTGTTCAGGCTGGATGACTATCCTTCCAAAACCCAGTAAACCGAGATAAAACAGAAATAAAAATTATGCCCTGAAGTCAGCTTCAAACCAAACAGGAGCTTAACTTAATCAGAAAAGAATAATCCATCTTGAGTGAATGATGTACTCTTTTAAAAGACTAGGAAATCATGTTGGCAACAGATGCACAGGGTTAAACGAGAAGCTTGGGGCATTGATTTTGTGTGGTTGACCTTGTGACAATTCATGAAGGGACAAAGGGGAAGGTGACACAACTGGAACGATGTAACCAACATCATTGAATTGTACATGTGGAAATTGTTGAGTTGATATTCAAAAGATTCTCAGTATTAATCTAACAATGTATTCTAACTTCAATTAAAATCCAAATAAATTAGACTTTAAGAATTTAACTTTTAAAAATATGCTTTAAAATTTCCCTAACATATTAAAAAAACTCTCAGGAATTAGGAATACGTTTAACTTTCAGCCAAACAATTAAACAGGCAGGAGGCACACACTCTTTAAAACAACTGACCCCATGAGACCAAAAGGGCAGCAGCCGACCCGGGAGAGGAGGAGGGATGGGGAGCACCGGCAGGAGCAGTGCTGCTACACTGCACCCACTGCGATGAATGTCACCAAACAAACGGAGCGGCTGGGTGGAAAACGAAGCTGCTCTGTAACATTCTACCCAAATTATAATGAAAATGCTTTAAAAAGAATTAGGAATGTGAAGACTGAATTACATGTTGAAGAATTGTTCTTTCACCCCATATATTTATATAAAGTTCAGCATAATTAATCTATGGTAACAGATGGCAGAAGAATGTTACATTTGAAGGAGGATTGTGGGGGCACAAGGGAATTTTCTGGAATGCTGAAACTGTATCTTATGGGTGACGTAGGTATATACCATTTGTCAAAACTCAGTATGATTTCGGTATTTCTCTCCCTGTCAGTTGTATCTCAGCAAACGGGTGACTTGGTGACTGGCGGCAGCTTACAGCTATTGGCTGCGGCTTTCTCAACGGCACAGGTCTCAGCCGCTTCCTCCCTGGCTTCGCCATTCCCACAGCCTGTGTCTGACCCCTTCCTCCTTCTGAGAAGGCCGCCCTTTCAGTCTCCATGATGGACTGTTCTGAGGCGCTTGTCTCTCCCTGGCTTTAGTGTTCACTTTGGGGTTCTGTCCGCCGTTTGGCTGTGGGGGATCCTTGGGTGTGGGTTCTGTTCTCGGGGTGCCTGAGGAGCACACTACTGCAGTCCAGGTGTGCAGCTGCCCTGGACCTGTGCAGGGCCAGCGGTGTGGACGGCCATCTGCAGGGCTTTAGCCACAATCCTCTAACTGCTTCCCTCCCTGCGCCAGGCCCCACCTGCCTCCCATCTGCCCTGCAGCGAGCTCTTTACACAAAAGCCCATGAGGCAGCCTCATTTCATGACTGGCCTGGATTCTGGCTAGAAGGCACTGCTAACGACACGAGGACGCAGACGGAAAGCCGGTCACAGTTCGCGGTGACAACCTTGCTCTCTACTCACTGTTCTCCGAGACCTCCACGATGTAGTAGAGGACGGGGCTGTTTCCGTCGAAGGGTCGGACCCAGGACAGCCTCACGGCCTGGCTGTGCGACGCGTTCAGGCTGGCCAGCAGGTTCTGGGGAGGGTGAGGCAGCTCGCTGGGAGGGGAAGGCACACGAGGAAGGGGATAAAAAGAAGAAAAACACAGTCAGACTTTGCGAGTCGGCGATGTGCAGCCTGGGTCCCCACCTTAGATGAGCCAACCCACCCCCCACCCGCCCTCGAGTCGGCCGGGACTCACAGTGACCCCCCATCAGTGCTCTGCGGCTGGGGTCTTCAGACCACCACATGGACGTGACTTTGGGTTAGCAGTGCTACGTCCTGCGGACTGCGTCACCAGAGCTCCCCAGAGACTCGGGAACAGGCAGGGCTGAGAGACATTCATCCAGGAACTGCCAAGGCCCCGGCATATTCACACACAACACAGCTGCCTCACTGACCGGCAGCCTGAGGAGATGGCATTGTTTTAGCAACAAGGACTCAGAGAAGAACTGCAGGAGAATGTGGTAAAAATCCCCACTGAGGTCCCACAGAAACGGCATGTCATAATATGTAAACCAGTTACATACCGGACAGAAACACATCCAAGGCAAACACATTCAGAAACAAGTTCCTAACAGAAAAAGGTCTTTCTGGCCACCACGAGGCAACCCCTGGCTGTGGGGTTAGTCCTCACAAAGGCCGTGGCCTCCAGCCACAGGCCACGGAGCCCGGCGCCTCTGCGTTTAGCCTGACCGGCTCCCGAAGTCTGGGCGCAGGATCCTGCTTTGTGGTTGCTGTGGTCAGTGGTTCCTTGGACACAGGTCCCCAACAGCGCTGGAGCGTGGACACTGAAGGACTCGATCGCCCAGCACCATTTCTAGATTCCCGGGACACACGCTGCTGACTGCCCGGGTCACAGCAAAGAGCCATAATTACACTGGATGTTTTCTTAATTTAAAAGGTACACCTTACACTGGGAATTTATGAAGCTGTTCTGAGCCTGCAGCCACCTAGGAAACGCAGCTCCCTCTAACCTTGCAAACTGCTTACAAACCAACCACTATTTCTTGCATGAACCGGGGACTCTAAATTAGAATGATAGAGGGCTGGCTCGAGCCTATATGGCAACTTCCGTTTGGTTTTAATTGAGAATTAAGTTTTAAATCAGGGAAAATCACAAACCTGCTGCCAGCAGGTGAATCCTAACTCACAGGGACCTCAGGGGTGAGCAGAACCACCCCGCGGGGTTTCCGTGCTCTGACTTTATCAGACAGGCGGCCCCATCTTTCTCCCGGGGAAAGAGCCGGGCCTCCAGCAGGTTTTCAGGGGCTGTGGAACACACAGGAGGTTGCTCATCTTTCTCCCATGGAGTGGCTGGTGGACGTGAACCGCTTGCCTTTGAGTTGGCTGCACAACTCCCTACCACTAGTCCACCAGATCTCTCTATGGAGTTGCTTCTTGTATGGCTGTCGTATGCCATCAGGTGAGAATCAACCCACAGCTGACCCTCCAGTCGGTCTTCAGAGGCAGTAAATCACACAGCAGCAGATTATTGATCCTTCTCCTGTGGGACAGCTGGTGGATTCGAACTGCGTGTCTTTGGGATTGCAGCGCAGTGTCTCACCATTAGGCCAGCAGAGTGCTCCGTGGAGCTGCTCAAATGCTTCAGCTGCAGGGCCACCAGGAGCCAGGAGAGACCCAGAACTCCCTCTCTCACCGTATATTCCAGGCAGGGGGACGGCTGGATCATATGGAATCTCTATGTTCGGCTTTTTTAAGCACAAAGACTTGTACACCAATGTTCACAGCAGCGTTATTCACCATCACAAGAACAGAGAAACAGCCCAAATGCCCAACCTCAATGGAATGGATCGAGAAACGATGGCACGTTCACACAATGGAGTACTATGCAGCACGCGGGAGCAATGATTTTGTAAATTCCTACCTAACGTGGGAAGGACTAGAGAACATTATCCTAAGCGAATTAACTCAGTCTCATAAACACTGTATAGGATCATTATTGTAGAACTAATATGAGGATCCAAGGGGGGTGTTTACTCGTAGGGTCACACACACTGATGGCTGGAGGGTGCACTGGGGAAAGGAGAGCAGAAAGACTGGTGTGAAAAGCAATGACCTTTATGAACTTTGTAAGTAAAGCAGTATAAAATGTAAAAACCCCTGAGAACTCTGAGAGGTGGGAAGAGGGGCGCCAGGAGGATGCTGTCAGCTCCCTGGAGCAGATGGCTGGTGGAAACCAAACCCGTCTGAACCCTCACTCAGATCACAGCAGGAAGAGGCACCTCTGGGTGCCCATGCCACCTGCTTAGCAACGCAAAGACCTTTATAATACGTGTGGGAACAGCAAACGGTTTCCTTAAAAGATAAGTTTTGGTTGGAAAATTCGAGCTTGGAAAATTCTTGACTGAACCATCAATAATAGAGAAATGAGGCATAAATGTATTCAGAACCCTTTGAGAAAGTCTTATCTCCTGGAAGGGGATTGCTGGCTTACCTCGGCCAGCGTGGAAGGGGCTGGATGGTGAACAGGAGTGAGTCCCAGTCGGTGACATGCAGACAAATGGGAAAGACAGTGGCAGAGAGGAGTGCCAATGTGGCCCAGTGCTGAGTCACCGTGTCCTTAGAGAAGAGCGGGGACCGCGCCATCAACCAGTGATTCCATCCTAACAATGTCAGCAATGAGGGAGCTAGCCCAGCACACCACCACCACCACCACCACCACCACCACCACCCAGCAGGCTGAAAGCACATGAAGCTAGGTATGTTTGAGAAAAACAGTTTAAAAAAAAGAAAAGAAAGACTGAAGAGCAAATAATTGGTAAAATCGTGGCTATCAGGGAGAACTGAATTGGCACAAGAGGATCAGATAAGTATTTTTTTTCCTATATAAAAAGCGGTGCTCCTTTAACGTGAAAATAATAGCTTGGTCAAAGCCATCTTCTGTGACTTCTTGGTGAAGATGAAGATGATGAGGGCTAGATAACTCGCGGGAAGCGGTATTAAATTGTTCGCTGCTTATTATGGCTTTGTCAGAGTCGTTTTTATTGAAAGCAAGCTGCGGAGCCGCCTCAGGCCCATCTTCCTGTGTGCTCTGTAAATGAGGTTTTCTCTCTGCTCCAGGCTCCACAGACCTGAGCTTCTGCTTGAGGGGAGCGAAGAGGCAATGCTAATTGGGTCTTTAAGTGATTTAGCAATTAATCAATCCCTAAAGCGTCAGGAGCCCAGCGCCTCTGTTGCAGCTCAATGCAGGAAGATGCTTTGGCAGACCGGCCCTTCACGTGCGAAATTTCCAACATGGCGAGACACGCCTGCAGCACTGGCTGAGGGCAGTCCAGGCACAGAGGAGAATTCGGACCCTCTGGACCGGGGAACCTTCTCCTTCAGAGAGCCAGATGGGCCCACACTCTCCATCCCTCCCCATCTCAGAGTGTGGACCATCAGTCCTCCACTGATGTTGCTGGAACAGGGTATCAGATAACACTGTGCAGAACAGGAACCCTAGAGCATGAACTGTGCTCTTACAGTCTCGTGACTACGGCTGTGTGAATAGAACAAGGGGGAACTGGGTTAAAATCAGGACAGGTGGGCGTCGGTGGTATTCTTTCACTGTACTTGTCTATCTGTATGCTGTATGTTTGGAAGAGCTGGACTACATGAAGAAGAATATGGCATTAGGAATGGAGGCAGAAGATGCATCACCGACCTGTGCTATGCAGATGACACAACTGACCTTGTTGCAAGTGAAGCTAAAAAACTACAGCCTTCGGCATGGACTACATCTCACCACAGAGAAAGCCCCTCACAGCTGGACCAACAGGCACCGTCATGGTAAGTGAGGAGACCGGTGTTTGCCTTTCACTTGGGTCCATAATCAACTCCCATGGAAAGAGCAGTTGGGAAACCAAACAAGATGCTGCCTGAGGCAAATCGGCTTCCAAACCACCTTAGCAACGCGTTCAAAAGCAAGGATATTGCTTTGAGAACCAAGGTGCCCATGGTTAAACCATGGCATTTTCAGTCACATATGCATGTGGAAGCCGGACAACAAATCATGAAGACCAAAGAAGAAATGATGTCTTTGAATGATAGCCTCTGCAAAGAAGACCCCATGGACTGTAAGAAGAAAACACACAAAACTATTTTGGAAAAATATGTTCAGAGTTAGTTGAGATTCTTAACAGCTTTAGTTTGCTTGGCTCCACAATCAACAGCCTTGGCACCAGCAGCCAGGAAATCAAAAGATGGATTGCATTGGTAAAGTCGAGTGTCAGAGACCTCTCCAGAACACTGAAGAGCCACAATGTAGGTCTGGAGACTAAGGTGCATCTGATACAGGCCATGGTCTTTGCAATTACTTGCTATGCATCAGAAAGCTGGGCAATGACTAGGGATGATAGAAGGGGAATTGATGCCTTTGAGCTGTGGTGGTGGTGAAGAGTATTGAGAATACCATGGACCGCTAAAGAGAACAAACAGATTCATCCTAGAGATGGTGAGACCAAGCTACTCCTTGGAGGCAAGGATTCTGAAGCTCCTTCTGACACACTTTGGGCATGTTGCATGGAAGGACCAGTCCTTGGAAAAGAACATGCTTGAGAGGGCGGAGGGACAGCACAGGAAAGAAAGACCGTGAATGAGATGGACTGATTCAGTGACTGGGTAATGGGGGTAGGTGTGTCAGAGACAGTAAGCCTGGATCAGGATTGAGCAAGGCTCAGAGCTGTTGTATATAGGCTCATTAAGGGTTGCAGGTGACTTGAGAGCACATAACAACAATAATGCCTAAAGTATTCCCTAGAGGCGAGGACAGAGCTGCTTCACCTCATTTGAGCAGGTGGAGCTGTTCTCTGGAGAAGAACACCATGCTCAATAAAGCAGAAAGTCAACCAAAAAGAGGGCCGCCTTCAACGAGCTGGACCAACACAGTGGCTGCAGCCGTGGGCTCCTGCACAGCAGAGACAGATTGCGCGGATGGACGGCGCAGCAGAGCAGCCTTTCCTGGTTATACACCACGTCCACGTCAGTGGCAGCTAGCAACAGCAGCAGCAACCACCACCGCCACCTGTAGGGAAGAACACCAGCACACCTGGTTCCA